GTAGTAGCTGGTATGTCACTGTCACTGTCCTCCCGTTGATCATCGATTTGCTCGAGCGGGCCCAGTAACATCTCCATTGGAGACTTTGTTGTTACTGTGTTTGGTATATCGAATACATCACGGTTAGCTTGCCAGGCTTTGCCGTGCAGGCGAGATACTCTCGGTAGCTTGCTGGGCTCTCCAAGAGGGGCAGAGGAATCGAACTCGGGTCGGCCATGTTGGCTGCGTGCAAGGCAATGCCCTACCGTTGTGCTATCGCTCCAGCCCTGGATTTGGCTGAGATAAAGCTGCCTAGACTCCCAACTCACCATCTTACAGGCATTTGACAGAGGCATTTTTATTGTGGCTCAGGATTGTGAGAAAGCTGACCTGGCTGGGCTGACTTGGCTCCAGTCTGCAGCTGGTTTCATGCCCAGTTCAGAGGCCTCACTGGGTGTGTTCCTCTCACAGTGTAGAATAACTGTGCAAGGAGACAGGTGAAGCCACACATCCACCTTTAAGGCCTCCAGTGTGAAAATGGTAGAGTTATATCCACTCACGTTCCACTGGTGGAAACAAGTCACATGGCCAAAGTCAAGGAAAGTGGGCAGAGAAGAGTACTTGTACTTGATCTATAGTGAAACCATGGCAAGAAGAAGAGGGAGGAAGAATTCTGAACAAATCCTATCAATGATACCAAATTTACTCCCTGTATGGAGACCCTGGGTGGAAGTTTGGTGGTAGCTACTCAGTAGGTGAATTCTGTGTGTATATGTGTGTGTGAACTACTTTTTCTAATTTTATTTTTAAACACTGTGGTTTACAAAGTTGTTCATAATACAGTTACTTCAGGTATTTAATGTTCCAACACCAATCCCACCACCACTGTGAACTTCCATATACCATTGTCTTCAGTTTCAAGCCTCAGCCCTTAGCAGGCACAAAATAATTTATTTTATACTAGTTGTTACAACAAAATGGCAAGTGGAATTATCAAAAAATAGTTCAGTAAAAGAAAATTTGTGAAAATTATATCTCACCAGGCGGTTGGTTATTAAAGTCATTGTCTGAGGATTTACTGAGCTGTGTGTGGCTAGGTGAATCATCAGTGTTATTGTTTTTGCCTATTGAGCTAAGTTGGCTTTTATGCTACTTTTGCATCTAATTTGCTGTGTTCCTCATGGACTGTCCGTATTGTGGGATTTGGAGGCATCACACTCCAGCAGTCACAGAACTGGGATGATTCTTTGACTTGCATCTCTAGAGATTACTCTTGGAGCTGTGAAACTGGGCTGCTTATAGGCCAGTGTCATATATACACTGAGGTTTACAAATCTGAGATTGCCATTTGAATGCCAGAGGCTGTGGGGTATGGGTGTAGTTGCAGGAGCTTCCAGCAGTACATAGGATGGGGTGGGGGTGGGGGAATTCCTTCCCAACCCCTCTCCGAGAAGGCCTCAGAATTTTCAGCTTGAAATTGACTTGGTGTCCCCTTGCCTGACTGTGTGCCAGGGAAGCACCTTAATTTCTATACTATCCTCAAGACCGGAATCTTTCCTGTTCCATCCTGGACTGTCTTTGGAAAGTGCCTCTCTAGGATGACACTTTCTTTCTGTTCAAGGGGCCTCCTCTTGACTTACACTTTATTTTTTGCTGAGAGTTTCCCTTATTATTTGTACCTGGATTTTTTCCCAAATACCAGCCCTCCATTTCTACTTTCTTTCAAACTCAGAAGCCAAAACCCAGAAAGAGAGGCGCATGGGTACTTCTCAGATGCAAAAAAGTGAAGGAGGTTCAGAAAGTGGTGAGAAAAACCGGTGCCACCCCTCATCCCAATGTATCAAACTGTATACAGTAAAGTCCTTGGCATGTGCTGTCTTGCTTAACGTTATCCAACACTCAGAGGAAGGAATGATGTCGCCTTCCATATTTTTTAACTTAGAAAATGGGGCAGAGGAGGTTGTGTAACTTGTTCATTGTAACAAAACTCCGACAGGCACAAGAAGAACCCAGCTGTATTTTACCCCAAAGGCTCTGAAAGACCTTTTATTTATTTTTTGGAACTACCATTGGGTGTGCTTTCTGGGCCCATGGGCATCTTTGCTGAGCAGTTATGCAGGGTCAAGGATGGGTGGGAGGGATTTGAGGAAAGGAGGAGAACTGAGCACACTCTTCATTCCCCCCTGCTGTACCCATGGTAGAACAGACAATTGTGTGCTGGTGGGGGAGAATTGGGGGCGAGTTTAAGCGACAGGTGATTCCACTGCTGCCCCTTGAGACCCCCCTCCCCATGCCAACAGATGTAGGCATCATCTCCTCTCCGTTTTCTTGAATGTGCTCTTTATTACTCAGTTGAATAGTTCTCTTCAGAGGATTTTTTCCCCAGTTTGATCAAGTCTGTTTTTATTTTCCCAAAGCCTTATGAGGGTGGCCTGCAGGCCTCATGGCCATTTTGCACAGCCCCACAATTGTCAATGTTCCCCAGGTCATCATCTGAAGCCAAGGAAGATCTGGGAGAAGGATCAAAGCTGGTGGAAACATTTTTGAAAGATGATTTATTTTTCCCTGGTGCCATCCAATACTTTGAGAATACAAATCTTGCCTCCAACTTGAAAAAAATACTTTTTTTTAAGAAAAAGAATTCCGAAGTCTTTATTAAGGCCATTCCTCCTTTTAGCTCTTATTAAAATGATTTGTTTTCTTTCCTGCTATGTTTTCTTTGGTAAATGGTAGCAATTTGGATACTTCCATTTTCTTATCTGTGAAATAGAAATTAAGTAATTGCCAGGTCTCAATGTTATTGAGGGATTAAATGAGTTAATAACAACTCTAAAATCAAAGGTTACTATCAATGAAAAAGAAGGGGGCCCCAAAACTTCATCTTTTGATATCTCCTTTATAAAATTCTCATATTCCCACCACCAAGTTCTATCTGTTAGATACTCATTACTGCATGGCTTGTTATAATACAAAAATGAAAATGATTTAAATAATCTTTGGTAGGGGCTGGAGAGATAGCACAGTGGGTAGAGCGTTTGCCTTGCATGCGGCCGACCCAGGTTCGATTCCCAGCATCCCATATGGTCCCCTGAGCACCACCAGGAGTAACTCCTGAGTGCAGAACCAGGAGTAACCCCTGTGCATCGTTGGGTGTGACCCAAAAAGCCAAAAAAAATAATAATCTTTGTAGAGGAATGGGCAAAGAAATGATGACATATTTTCACTGTGAGCTCTTATGCAATGGACAAATAATATAGATAGTTAAATAAAATAAACAGTTGTGAAAATATCAACTAAAGGAGGTTGTAGAATAACCTAATAAATATCTAAATAATTTTCTTGTGTGATAGCTCCAAAAATTATTTCCCTAAAGTTGTCTACATCCTAATCTCTGGAACCCATGAATGTTTGAATGTTGTTATTTGAAGAATTTCTTTTTTTTTAATTAAAAAAAATTTGTTGTTGTTTTGGGGCCACACCCAGCAGTACTCAGGACTTACTCCTGGCTCTGCGCTCAGAGGTCACTCCTGGCTGTGCTTAGGAGACCATATGGGCATGCTTGGGATTGAACCTGGCTCTGCCACATGCAAGCAATCGCCCTACCCGCAGCACTATTGCTTTGGCCCCCAGGTCTTCACATTTCTGATGAAACCAATGATGTTGGGAGGGGGAGCAACCTGGATTATCCAAGTGTCCCCCAATACTGTCACATGTTACTTAGTAGAGGGAGACAAATAAGTCTGATGTGTATCTATAGTCACTTTAAAAAGGGAGGTGGCAAAGTGACCACAAATTGGGGTGATGTTTTCACATCCAAGGAATGCAAAGGGACGCTCGTTGCCACTAGAAACTGGGAACAGTAAGGAGCATATTCTTTCCTAGAGCCTCCAGAGTAGGATGGCCCTGCTTACGTCTTGGTTTAGATACAGCGAAACTGATCTTGAACATTATGCTTAATGTTGCTTGAAGCCAACAAGTCTGCGGTGATTTCCCATCATAGAGCATGAACTAATACTAATGCAATATGACATTTGTTGCTGCACAGATGCACTTATTTCAGGGACTCCAAAGACATCCCAGCTCTGCTTCTCAACAACCAGGCAAGATCGCAAGCACCTTCCTGCTGGCAGTGCCAAGGTTCCTGAGCACCAGTGTTGAGATACTCAGATGACTTACTAGTGCTTATATCGCCAGGATCCCTGTTTGTCAGATGGTACTGGGGTGAAGTCTGAGAATTTGCATTTCTGACTAGTTCTGCTAGGTGATACTGATGCATACTGTTGGTCCAGGGACTGCCCAGGGGAATCCTGGGGGCAGAGTTAGTGCTGTCATGGAGAGAGGGAGGAGACCAGAGAGAGAGAGAGAGAGAGAGAGAGAGACAGAGACAGAGACAGAGACAGAGACAGAGACAGAGACAGAGACAGAGGGATAGAATGAGTGAGAGAAAGAGTGAGAGGAGTGAGAAAAAGAGAGAGAAAGGAAGGGAGGGAGGGAGGGAATGAGGGAGGGAGGGACCAGGAGAGCAGGATAGCCCACTTCCTTTTGAACAAGTGGGGGCCCATACCTGGACCAGGTCTCAACTATTTGAGTTTAATCAAGGGAGGTTGGGCAGAGTCGCCTATAGCTGGGGCCATGTGCTTGGTAAAAGCAAGGTTATGTTTGGTCACACTAGAGATACCAGTGTAACCCCTACGATTCTGTTGGAGATGAAAAGCACTTTGTGATGGGGATGGGGTGGGAAAAAAATCTTATGGTGCTTGGGGACTGGCATCAGCGTTGATGGAACAGAAGCCCAAGTGTGTTCACGGGCATCTGCAGTGGTTTCCTAGATGATGTGGCTGACTAGATGCAGGGCATGGGTGGTGACCTTACCTGATGCTCCTCTGCCGGCAGCAGGTGCTATTCCCTCTGGGTTCTGCTTCTATCTGATTCCTGCTCCCCACACTGTCCTCCACTCTATGTCCCCTCTGTTCTGTGGACTGAGCTGCTCTCAGGTTTGCTTCTTCTGTTCTATCCTGCAGGCATCTTGGCTTTGGAGAAAACTGCGTGGCAAGAGGCGGCTGGTGATGGCATCGTGCCTCCTGATGACTCTGTCGGTGGTGGCTGTCACCCGTATCCCCCCACAGCCTCCGGTCCTTGATCCTGTGGAGCCCCCAGGACACACTGGCTCTGCTGTCTCCCAGCCCCGGCAGGCTCCAGGTTTGAGTCGGAGGCAGAGGGCAAGGCACATGGGGCTGCGGCATGGCTGGGCCTTACCCTGGAATTCCAGCCTGGTCTGTGCCAAGCGGCAGGGTCCTGGGGTCATGGAGGATAGAAACGGGCTGTTACTGCATGGAGACAGTGTGCATCCAAGGAGGACACGGAGGGATTTGCCTTTGGTCCCTCTGGGAGATCTGAAGCACAGCACCTGGCCTCTGGTGCTCCCGAGAGAGGACGAAGTCCGGGATCCTGAAGTTAAGGGGCTGGACACCCTCTGGCAGGCTGATCTTGTCCCAGAGGCCCAGAGAGAGAGGGGTGCCTTGGACAGCTCCTTCCCAGGCAGCCACAGGATCACCTCACAGACTCGGACACCAGATGCTGGACTGACCCTCCGGTCCCAGCCAGAGAAAGGCCGGGATCTGTCAGCAGCTGAGGCCGGCGCCCGGGCTGGTGGGAGACCAGCATGGACTCCCGGTGTGACTGCTGGGGCTCGCCAGTGGCCTGGCTCCATGAAGGAGCTGAGAGGTTCCGTCTGGTGCACTGCTGAGCCTCTGGGCCAGAGGCCGGGCTCTGGGAGCCACACTCAGCTTCCTCCCTGGCTCACGGACCATGACATGCAGAGCCTGCGGCTCCTGGCCCAAGGACAGGTGGTGGGCAAAGCCAGGGTCCCGGGACACGGGCAAGTGCTGCAGGTGGGCTTTGCTGCCGAGACAGCCCTGCACAATGTGTCTGCTGGGCTCGGCCAGCTCTGCTCTGGGGGCCACTGTGGTCTAATCAAGAGGCCTGGGGACTTGTCCGAAGTCCTGTCCTTCCATGTGGACCGGGTTTTGGGGCTACGTCGGAGCCTCCCCGCCTTGGCCCGGCGTTTCTTCAGTCCCCTGCTGCCCTACCGCTACACGGATGGGGCTCCAAGGCCCGTCATCTGGTGGGCACCGGATGTGCAGCACCTGAGTGACCCAGACGATGATCAGAACTCTGTGACCCTGGGCTGGCTGCAGTACCAGGCCCTGCTGGCCCATGGCTGCAGCTGGCTCGGCCAGCCCCCATGCCTGGGCATCCAGCATGCTGAGTGGGCACGCCTGGCCCTCTTTGATTTCCTGCTGCAGGTAGGTAGGTGAACGGGGAGGGGAGGAGGCAGACCAGGCCTGGAAATAACCATCCCATCTTTTCGTCTCTCAGACCCTCTCTTGCTTTCCTGCCTCTGTGTTTAATCCCCCAATGGTGAGCCCAGACCAGCTCACCAGAGCCAAGGGATGACGTGATCAGGAATTTGGTGACTTGCATGTGAAATACAGGTATTAGTTAATAAAAAATGTTTATAAGGGCCAGGAGATAGCTCAAAAGGTTGAAGCACGATCCTGGTACACTCCAAGTCCTAGGGGCATCCCTGGCACCACATGGCTTTCAGCACTGCTGGGTGTAGCTCTCTCTGGTGGCCCCCAGCACTACTGGAGAAGAGTCCCCCCAAACCCTCAAAGCAGAACAGAAGTTACATAAACTAATAGTGTAATAAACTCGAAGCCAGAGTAATAAGTGCTCAGAACCCATGACTTCCTAATTATTGTGTCATTTATTTTACTGTGGTCTATGCTCTTGAAGTCTTTTTCAGGTATTGATTGAATTATACATCCTGGTGAGCTACAGCTGGCCTCTTGCCAGTTCCAATCTAGTCCTGTTTAGGGTGAGGTGTTCACAGGATGTAAAACAATCAAATGCTCCAAACCAGGATTTCCCTCTGTTCCTGGAAAGCTGGCGGTCAAATATTTATAACTCATCACCATTTGCAATGTAATGTCTTTGAATCAACAAGGATTCAAGATAGTTGCATAATTTTTAAAAGAATGAAAGAAAGAGGGGGAGAGAGGAAGGGGTGAGATCCCAGAGCTCCAGCCCCAGGGCCACCTGAGGTCTCTGCAGTACTGAGACTTCCCCCTGGAGTTCCTGGGGACCCTAGGAAAGGGGTTGAGACTTTCAGGGTATAGGGTTAGCTGGGGCCTGGAAGCTACCAGTCATTTACTATTGACAAGTGTGGCTTGTCAAGTTCCGGTATCCTTTAGCTACACGTCAACTATGGAGATATATGTGGCAATGTACCCAGGAAAATGCAAAAGAAAAAATACCAGTAAAGCTTGCTGTGGGGGGTGGATATTCACATAAACACACCCTGAACCAGTCCCCATTTCCTTAGGGACCCCTATGATGAAAGATACACCAGCCCTTAGATCTGTCTACCAGCATTGGTGAATGAGCCATAGGATAAGATTCAGGAGCACAATCAGGGCCTGAAGGGCTGTGTTTGGTCCATACAAAGCTGGGCTACAATGCAATTCTTGGGCAACATACATCATTTGGAAGTCTCCCCGCAAAAATCCAGCTTCCTTTGAAAGACCAGATGGTTTCAGAACTTTGAGTCTCTGTTTCCATAAGGAGGTGATCAAATAATCTGATTGAGTTGCCCCACATTCCTGTTGGCTGACACCCACCCATTGCCCCAGTTCCAAACCCTTGGCATGTACTGCTTGTCCCAGGTGCTTCTTGACCCCTAGTCTCTAGCTCAGTCGAAGAACTGGAAGGCATCTATGCCTCCAACTAAGAGGGTACTCTTCCCAAGCCTAGGAGAATGAATCATGTAGACCTCAGGGCCACCTTATGAGTGAAAAACTGTACCCCTGTTTTATTTTTAAATCTAATTTTATTGTTTATTTACTTTTGGGTTTAAGGACTATGGCCAGCAGTGCCCAGAGGCTTTTTATTTCCCCCTTGTGGGCTGGAGTGATAGCACAGCGGTAGGGCGTTTGCCTTGTGTGCAGCCAGCCCGGGTTCGATTCCTCCACCCCTCTCGGAGAGCCTGGCAAGCTACTGAGAGTATTCAATATGCCAAACACAGTAACAGGAAGTCTCACAAAGGAGACGTTACTGGGCCTGCTTGAGCAAATCAATGAACAACGGGAGGACAGTGGTGCTCAGGGGATCATACGCAGACAATCTGCCTTAACCCCTGTGCTTTGCTCTGGCTTGATCCCCCTGTTTGAAAGCTGAGAAACTGATGTCATAGATGTTGATTCACTTGTTCGTATAATCTCAACCAACAACCACTCCTGGCTGCTGGAGCAGAGACCTGGCCCAGACAGTGTGGACTCTTCATTGCTCACTTTCCAGCTATCTGGGGCAGGAGAGGGACCTTGCTGCTCTGATGACTTTGCGCTGTACACAGAGCCCTTCTGTCCGTTTCCTGGGGCTGCAGTGTGGGGCGCTCCTCAGCCACCCAGTGGAAGTCTCAGCAGCCAAAACACACACCGGTGGGGTGTGTGGTCGGCCATGGCTCAGCTGGCCTCATGCCACTCTTCCCCTGCTTGGCCCAACCGTGACTGGCTGCTGCCTCCTTCCTAGAATGTTCTAGAGAAGGAGAAATTCAGAAGAGGCTGGACCCTCAGTCCTAGCTGGTGACAAAGCATGAGCCTGGGGGCCAGCAGAGAGCAGAGTCTGGGTGGCCACCAAGGGGCCACAGCAGGCAGTGGGATCCTCATGCTAACTGGTTATGCTCGGGAGAGCTGGAAGGTGCTTTCTGGCTGTGAGGGTGCAGCTTGTTCACTGGCCGTCAACATGGACTTGCAGGGCCTGGCCTGGCTGCTCAGGAGTGATTGTCTCTCTGCCCCCAGTTAGCTCAGTTATTTGTGAGGGCTGGGGGGGTGGGTTGTGTTATACCCAGCAGTGCTCAGGAATACACCCTCAGGGTCTGTCACTAGTGAGAGCCCATATAGCATCGCCATTGCTGCTGCTGAAAGATGGTGAGAGGTCATCATGGTGGCACTGCACTGCTAGTGATCCGGACCCTTGTTTATACCCTCCCAGCTTCTCGCCTCCTGTTGCAGTGTTGTGAGAGTAGGCTTGTAGGATTGGGGTGCTGGGTGTTTGGCTTAGAAACCCCCTTGCTTCCCAGGATCCAGTTCCATGCCTTAGAGATCTCTTTCCATTTGTTGCTTGTAACCCCACAGCCAAGTTTCTCTCTCTGAGGGCTTCTCTCTGACGCACACCCGTCTATCCATCTGGGCATTCTCCTTTGTTTTCTGAAGGCAAAGCTTTGCTCATTGGGGTTTATCTGTAAAATTTGGGGTCGATTTTCTGTGATTGGTGGAAGAGGTAAATACAGGGACTCCCTGTCATGTCCTCTTGGTTCCCAAGACAAGGCTTCAGAATGTGGGTGTCTCAGCACAGAAGCCCAAGGTACTGACCGGAACAAATGCCAGAGACAACTCACTCAGCAGCACGTTCCTTGTTTGTTTTGTTTTATGCAATTCAAATGTTTGCTTTCCTGTTTGTAATATTAGGATGTTCTGCTGACCTGATCCAACATGCACCAGCTGGACACACATCGTGTTAGTTTTAGACTCATACCTTAGACTAGCACAAATCACACCCTCTGCTTCATGGGTCCCACATAGCATTAGCTATTAGTGACTGATGAAATAATGCTAACAGACCTCTCCAGATATAACAGTGAAGAAGGAGAAGGAGAAGGAAAAGGAGAAGGAGGAGGAGGAGGAGGAGGAGGAGGAGGAGGAGGAGGAGGAGAGGAAGGAGAGGAAGGAGAGGAGAGGAGAGAAAGGAGAGGAAGGAGGAGGAGGAAGAGGAGGAGGAGGAGGAAGAGGAAGAGGAAAAAGAGGAAGAGGAAGAGGAGGAGAATAATAAGAAGAAGAACAACAGAAACAACAAATCAGAAACAACAACAACAACAACAACAACAACAACCAGTTCTTCAGTTCTTGCTCTGGGGTCCATAGATCAGCTAGCCTCAACTGACGTGGTTCCAGGCTGTGGGTTTGTTCAACTCTGCTTTTCATGTCTTATGCTCTAGTCCTGGCTGAAGGAGTGGCACTGTCTGGGAAAACTTCTGTGGGGGGGTGGAGGGGGGAAGAATGGAAGGAGCCAAGAGCCCAACCAAGCACATTTTTTATTTGTACTGAAATGTACCAGAAAAGTACATTTTAAGTCTTGTCACTCATATTGCACTGCTCATATTACACTGGTCAAAGCCCAATGTCAGAGGAGGGGAGAATGCTCTGCCCGGAGAGGAACCAGGAGAAAAAGCAAACATTTCTTGGACAATAATCAGATCAGGGGGGTGGAGCGATAGCACAGTGGGTATGGTATTTGCCTTGCACGCAGCTGATCCGGGTTCGATTCCCAGCATCCCATATGGTCCCCTGAGGACCGCCAGGAGTAATTCCTGAATGCAGAGCCAGGAATAACCCCTGAGCATCGGTGGGTGTGACCCCCCAAAAATAATCAAATCAGTCACACTTGAAGTATACAATCTATATTGAACACAAACGCTACATGTCCATGTGAGCCTCGCACATCATATACATATGCACACCATATATAGACCCATGGCCCCCTTCCCCTCACATTCTATGTGTGCTCAGATTCTGCTGCAGGCAAAGAAGGGGGTTAGCACTCAATCCTGCTCAAACCTTTATGAGCGTTTGTAAAATATGTCTGAAGGTCATCCCACTAAGGTCCAAAGAAATTGGGCTGCTGACTTACTAAGACCCGCCTGTCCTTGATTGAGGCTGCTTTGTGTGTGTGTGTGTGTGTGAGAGAGAGAGAGAGAGAGAGAGAGAGAGAGAGAGAGAGAGAGAGAGAGAGAGACATAGATTTGGGGGGAAGGGGTATTAGATTACATCCAGCAATGTATTCAGGGACTATTCCTGGCTCTTTTCTTAGCAGTGACTGCTGGTATTGCTCAGGGGACTGTGTGCTACACTGAGGATTCAAACCAGGTCAGCTGCATGCAGGGCAAGTGCCTTAATCCCTATCTATCTCCCTGTCCCTTTCCTGGGATTTTTAATTTCTGACTTGTGTAGCCTCACCCATGCACTGGCCATGCTCTTTGAGCCAAAAACAGGCCAAGACAGAGAGGCGCAGGCACTTGTAGAAAATCCTCAGGATGCCCAGGAAGAGGGAATGCCCAGTGGACATGGGTAGAGTGGCAACAGGAGCCATTCCTCGGAAGGAATAAGTGAGACACAAGCTGAGCAGGCCAATGGGCCTAGGGCAGCATTCTCTGTGAACAATGGGCTCTTACAAAACCATACAGCACTGG